CTTAAGTGTAATAAACTTACGTTAAACGAAAATCACGAGAGTTCTTAGTTAGACTTACGACGCTAAAAATCGGATTTCGATACCCGTAGCTGGTACAGTACAAATTGTCCATTGTGTAACTTTGCGCTTAACAACAAACACGCCTATGCATTAGTGAACGCAAAATAAATATTTGCGTCAATATTTTAATCGTCACAACCAAGATTTCAAAATCACAAAGTTTGAAAACTCCAGTTACAGCAGTCTGGATCATTCCGAACATGTTATAACATGTACACAGAATATGATCGTTTTTGGAAACTTGAATTATAGTTAATTATCATGTCTCAGTCCTGGTTCTTGTTCGGAATGACGGAGTCGTACGGTCCTAAGTATGTTAGTCATGGCCTTTATCCCTCTGGATGGGGGCGGGGGATCGGATTAGCGTTTCGTACGAGTTGAAAAGTAACTGTCGTAAACGAGACAGTTAAAGTTTGGGATGAGTAAGAAACTGGCCTTTTCCTACGTCGAATATTCCGAAACAGCAGCAGCGCCGCCAATAAAACTGGTGCTTGATCACAAGTAGTTACAAACCTCGTGCGAACATTAACATTATAAACCAGACAAGTATAGATAGCATCACTGACGTTTCTGCTCGATTTCAACAACAAATCGTTGTGTTCGCTTCACTGAACCTCTTGTTGTCGTTCGGGGCAAATGACAGCATGGTTGTGGCCTGGATAGCAAATCAAGCGACTAAATTATAGCTTTGCTTATGTCGTCTTCTGCCAGTAATAGGTTTTGGAACAAATAAGTCCTGCTGTTGGCACTATACAATGGCTCCCAATCTTGTGTAATATCTTACTTTGGCGCCACTATTGATCCTGAACTTGTGCGCTCTGTATATATATATATATGATATAAAATGAAAGTGAAAACCACCTTCTGGGCCTATTGGTGTTTCCAACAATCTTCTCTTTCTTGACGTTGCTCATAGCAACTACAGAAAGCCACCAGCTGCGTCACGTGGTCAAGCTATCATCACTGTTGATTAATTCGACTTGCGCAAATGACAGAGGTAGTTTCATAGTAGAAACGAAATAATACCTTATCGATTGAAATACACATATTTGTATGATATATATATATAATATTTTCAGCATAGTTTACGAGTGATTTGGATCAATTATGGAACATAACTTCTTAATGGTTGTCAAAATGTAAACTTCTAAGTTATTCAAGTGTACGTGGAATTTGTGAATTATTTCTGCTGTTAATAGAAATAAAAGCTACTTCTGGAGGCAGTCTCAACCACGATATACGGTTTATCATGTTGTCAGTGATAATGGGAGCTTTTCTTAGCTCAGCTTATGTAGCACATGCTAGTCTTCAATTGTGACTGAGGTTTTTTCGAAGGACTTAATCTAATTCTTGTTAGGCTTATACAATACTTGGTTTTTTAGAAACGATAGAGGCAGAATCACTAAACCTGTGTTGTTAGAATGGTATAGATAGTCGACTGAAACAAGTTAAGAAAATAATAAATAAACATGATCTTGATTAGTCAGAAATACTCACATGAAAAGACATATCAATACAATATATTTGGTATTTTGAACCTGAACGACACATGAGCTGAATGATCACGTCACAGTCCCCAAGAAGCAGCCATCATTAACTTAGAGCTGTTGACTAAATAAAGAGGAGCAAGTCAGCAGTAATTACCGCTTATACACTACTATTAATAGTGGGAGTGACTGTCACGATTATAACCCCACGCAACTGAAAGTGGAAGCATGCTCAGAGATATATTGCCGCTCGAATCTTAGACCTTCTGATTCATATGTCAATTAGTGGGTTATGTGCGACCTCGTGTAGATCTAAGGATGCATTTCTAGTACATAGATTCGAGCTTGATTGGCCATTGCGTTGAATAGATGTCAAGTCTGCCTTTCTAATATGTACATTTAGGTTTGATTGGCCATTGTGTTGAATAGATGTTAAGTCTGCCTATGTAGAGCGTACATTTAGGTTTCATTGGCCATTGTGTTGAATAGATGTTAAGTTTACCTTTGTAGTACGTACATTTAGGTTTCATTGGCCATTGTGTTGAATAGATGTTAAGTTTACCTTTGTAGTACGTACATTTAGGTTTGATTTGCCATTGTGTTGAATAGATGTAATGTTTACCTTTGTAGTACGTACATTTACGTTTGATTTGCCATTGCATTGAATAGATGCAAAGTTTGTATTTCTAGCGTGTACACTTTGGTTTGAATGGCCATAGTCAATAATATATATATATATATATATACAAATATCGACAAATACATATTTATTTATGTTTTAATTACAAAAGGTTTAATTTTGACTAAATGATAATTTTGAAACCCTTACAAAAATGTAATTCTTGATTTTGAAAATCTTAGTTTATAATCCAAGTTACCTGATCGTAAGATAAATAAATATATTATTACATCTTTGTTCTCAAAAACTATTGCGATAGTCTATATATAATCTTACTTTATCATAAACTTTTTGATGAGTGGAAGAGCTATGAGACGTTTTTAAGTGTAATTAGGCTTACTGTTTGTATTGATACTCATTATCAAAGAGTTCGTTTGCACCTAGGAAGTCAGCAATTTTTCACAGTGAGGGAAGGATGTAAAAAAAAATGGTTTGGTTTGTGTTGAATTTCGTGCAAAGCTAAACGAGGGCTATCTGCGCTAGCCGTCCCTAATTTAGCAGTGTAAGACTAGAGGGAAGGCAGCTAATCATCACCACCCACCGCCAACTATTGGACTACTCTTTTACCAACGAATAGTGGGATTGACCCTCACATTATAATGCCGCCACGGCTGAAAGGGCGAGCATGTTTGGTGAGACGGAGATTCGAACCCGCGATCCTCAGATTGCGAGCGAAGCGCCCTAACTACCTGGTCATGCCGGGCCTAAAAACACTTTTAAAGTGAAAAACATGAGCAGAGATTATTTCTAATCTAAAATAATTTGGTATTTCAAGACTCGATCCTCGACTTTGTAGTTTAAAATAGGCCTGAGTTACACTGGTACAAATGAAGAGCTTTAGTACATATGAGCTGAACGTACAGGGTGTCCATAACTTAGAATAGAATGACAACTAATATGCAGGCTAACATCTCACGATTGTCCACAGCAAGTACTGCTGTACAGGGGCACCGCTCGTGACTCGAAGAATGTTCAGGCGACAATAAATGTCCGCCCACATACGTATCAGCGTCTAGGAGTAATCGTCCCAATTGCGTTGGTTATTCGGGCATGCAACGCTGTCATATCCAGTACTTTTGTGGTATAGACAATGTCCTACACATACTCCCATCTAAACTAGTAGGAAAAAGCACCAGTACTTGCCTAATCTGATTCACAGATACTGTTCATGAACATTGATGATATATGTATCGATTAGACCACTAATTTTTCTGTCGTATTCCAACTAGCCTGATGAGCCCTGGTATTGGACGAAAGGCTTCGTCGGTACTGCATATGGTAGATGTAGCGTTGTTGGCATATTACAACAGATTCAAGAATAATGACGCGTGTAACTTTCAACTGGAAGGGTAAGTTTATTTGACTTTTGGGCTGGTCTGTTTGTCTGCATTAACTGAATTTCAGGTGGTTGTATTGTTTGTATCATGGAGGGGGGGGAGAAGGAACAAATTTAATCAAAGTAAATCAAATATTTTTCGTGTATAAAAACTAATTTTTGTCGATAAATATCGAAACTACAGAGAGTATCTAAATTCTACTGTGCAACGTTGAAACACAGGCAAACATGATAATAAGTAGAAAAAGTCGTTATGCAGGGAAACATCAACGTCAAAAAGTTTTCATTTTAATCATTAACACCTAATGTTTTTTAGTTACGAATATTGTAAACCTAAATAGCATTAAAATAGTTAAAATAAGTAAACAATCTAATCAACGACGATTTAGAGGTCATCTGTCTATCCTTTTATAAAGATATTTGGCATTTTTCACACAGTTTTCATTTTTCTAATGAATGGTGCATTGAAAAAACAAACACACACACACACACAAATACGAACAAGTTACAGCAAAGAAATAGACATGGGCTCATATTTTAAATCTGCTACGTTGGTTGCTTTATTATTTATTGATTTTTGCTTGGTACAAAATACGGGAGTAACATAGCTACTTGTGAGTTACGGAGAGATAGATACTGGATTACAGCGACAACATTTGTTCCTGACTTGGGACGTTGCAGTGCTTCAAAAAAGAAACTTTGACACACAATAAAGGTGAAAGGTACATAACATTTAAGCAAGTCGAAGATTAAGAACATTTCAAAACCGGATTATTGATCCAATCCTTTAAGTTTCTCTCTGATAAGCAACTTAGACTCAATCCCGGGTCAACCGTTACAATTCAAAACAATAAACACATTTCAATATTTGACCTCGCGTGCTCCATTACACTGCATTTTGTAATAAATTATCATTATGTATAATTATATAAACGTAGCTAAGCCATTAAAACAAATTATTTAGTTGAAATAAACCGATTTCGTACCATGAAGTATCGTATCTTTTCAAGATAGTTGAATATTAGAGACATGTGTTGAATTTTCTAGCATTTGAATTTAACAAGTGACCTTTGTCATTCATAATTACATAGGCGAAACACGGTCAATTTTATCCAATATCTGGAAACGAAAGACTTTGTTTATTTGTTGTTGTTTTTAAGTCCACTGTTCTTTCGAAAATGTTTTATGTCCTTAATAACAAAGCCACATCATTGGTCCTTTCGTCTACGAAAATGACGTAGTCAGTATTGAAATATACATATAATTACATGCATACTTATGATAATAGAAATATATCTAGCACACGATCCTGTCTTCAATCTTGTCTCTGTGTTACAGTAACTAAACACAAAGTTCAAGTAATGATTGCACTTCTTATTTCACAACGGATACAATTAGTTTTAAATTTTCTTCAATATTTCCATCTTTTTTCCTCTTCATAATTGATAATTCTGGTAAATAAAACGTCTCTAGTATAATTTTTTCGCATTTCTGTAAAGGTGTCAAGGTGTTTATTAAGACAAATCACTGCTGAACCGTGAAAGGGATTCGACAAAGAGGCACTTAAACATCTTTCCTATAGTTTCCCTGTAGACGCACTGAAGGCTCCCAGAAATCGCTCTTCTCTCTACCCAATCACCGAATATTTATTATGAAAGCTAACAGAGAAGCGATCAGTAGTAGACTTTCCGTATACATGAGCTGGGAAACTGTGTTTAAAGTATAGTCACAATCTCCTGCGGAAAAAAAATAAAGATTGGAAAATAAAACCTCGAAAATTAATTAAAAAGTCAATATATCGCAATCACAATTAAACATCCAAACTAAAAATGTATTGTTTTAAATTATTTTCCATTCGCCATATATTATTTAAGAACGTTTTCTTATTCTTTTTTCACAACTACTAACATAAACTATTTTGAGACACTGAGAGAAAAGATGGGAAAATCCACAGTTATGGGAAGCCAGTGATCCAACTGTAAAAAAGGCATGCAACAATTTGCCAAAAATGCTCATATAATTAATTTCTAATATCGATGCTACTGTACCAAGTCTTCCAATAATCTGATAAAAATTACCTCAATTATTTTTTACATTGATCTTACAGTAAAAAGTTTATCTGATAATATAATTCGTTTTTGATATCGATAATACTGTAAACATTCTGCCTACCAATAATCTGATAAAAATTATTCCATAATTCATTTTTATAAATCGCTTGTAATATTCAATAAACAGAATTATTCAAATGATTATACAAAAAGACATAGTTAAAAAAAAGCTTTTTCTGTTTTCGAAAAACATTTAGAAATTGACATATTCAATGCAATAGAGGAGAACTTATACTAAGAGAAAGTCATATCAGAGTATTACCTCTCCAACTGTTTACTAACAATATAACACAGGTACTAATTAAGATCAACTTCTGTTGCAACTCTATAAGAATTACTAAAAATCAACTTCTCTTGCTACTGTATAAACAGTATTGTAGATCAACTTCTCTTGCTACTGTATAAACATTATTGTAGATCAACTTCTGTTGCAACTCTATAA